TCATTAATACTTCTAGCTTAATATTTGGTGCGCATTACTCATTACTCATTGCTCATTGCTCAGTGCTAATTACTCATTGCTAATTACTCTTTGCTCATTACTCATTACTCATTAATACTTCTTGCTTATTATTTGAAGCGCATTACTCATTATGCATTATTCATTTTTATTACTTATTTTTACCTTATTATACTTTTTCCTTTAACTTTTGATAATAGTGAGATTTTATGATAAAACAGGAAAAAAAAGAATAAAAAGATTTTTTTCTCCTATAATCAGATAACATATTTTAGGAGAACTACTTATTCTTGTGTAGAAGAGGTGATATAATGCCCCTGTATATGGTTTAATATTACAGGCAGGAAAGGGGATTGAAGAGGGATTAAAGAGGGATTAAAGTGCTTTAATATGAATTAGTTGGATTATGCTGGGGAGTAAATAGTTTAGCTGTTGCACAGCTGTAATCCTTTATCTGTTGCTTTAATTTGACAAAACAGGGGGTTCGTAGAACATATTATATACATACAGGGGGGTTCATAGAACATAGCTTATACATACAGGGGAGTTCATAGAACATAGTATATACATACAGGAGAGTTCAAAGAACATAGTATATACATACAGGGGGGGGTCATAGAACATAGTATATACATACAGGGGGGTTCATAGAACATAATATATATACATGGGGGTTCATAGAACATGGTATATATACAGGGGGGTTCATAGAACATGGTATATGCCAAACCACTGGGCACGATCTCATGAGCTATCGATGTCAACTGGACAGGACACTAGCTCATAATCTATCAACGCCAAACTAATGTGTGCAATCTCAGCTCATATGTTTCAACGAAATCCAAATTACTCTCTCAGCAGCAATCAAATCGGAGTCTCTATATCAACTGAATATATTTCTTCATCTTAGATTAGAGTTAGGCCTTAACAGCGTAATTACAAGTTATGTGCTGTTAAATATAACGAAGCTAAGCAATTACAATATGGGTATGATGGAGTTATATATATCTTCATATTTAGATTGGGTTAATCGCAATACATGATTTACATATTTACTAATGAGCACATTTAACTATATGGAAATAGTATATATACAATTACAAGGGGGTTGATAAAACAAGTTATGAAAACAGTGTTTTCATTATAATTGATTTGACACTTAATGAATTCAATTTAGCTGTGGGGAACTATTGTTTTAGAAAAAAGTATCAGTTTTAATCCTGTCCAATTTTTAAAATGTACTTTGATCTAAACGTTACAAATACTTTAATCCAAGGAAGCCAGGTTTATTGAAATCTATACTCAGGAATCAGATCATCGGAAATTGAAGCCATTTTCTCTTATCAATAGTTCAAGGATTTCACATATTTTATTCAAATTTTAATTTTGAGAATTTCTTCTGATGATAATGATGATAATGATATACATTATAAAAAAAATTTTATCAAAAATATTTAAACGTATCATATTACTCAAGCCCGTAAGACCAGAAGAAGACTTAGCTTAGTGAGCCACTGGGACGGATTTGTGTCTCCTAGGTATCCGTAAATACCTAGATTTAAGCTCTTCTAAACCCCTCTTTATCCCACTTCTCGAGGAACGGTAGAATAAAAAAATGTCTATTTTAGAATTTAAGAATTGGACGTTTTTATATTGGATGAATGTAAGCTTTTTTGGTCCTAGTTCTCAAGGTTTTTGGAATTTTCTTTCAGGCCTCGATACCAAGCTTGACAAGGTTCCAGTTCTGATCTAGGGTCGGAGAGAGAATAGAGAACTGATTAATCTGATTGACATCTTTACTCCAGGTGGGAGCTACACCACGGCATTCAATGGAAAGCGACTGTAGACGTAATTTCAAGTGACCTTCCATTTGTAGGGATGTGTGTTCGATTCACAACGATATCTTTTCAGACCGTTGACTGCACACAAATAATTCAGCTCTCCCTGGGTTTATTTTCTTATTTTGCGGTTTTCTATAATAGTGACTGGCGGATTTATGGAGGAGGGAAAAGGGAAAGGAATTAAAGAGAAATGAAAACGACGATATCTTTTCATTGTTATTCCCGTTGTGACATTGGCCATGTATAGATTTTTAAATTCAGGATTATCAGGATTAATGTTTATTTTCTCAGAAACTTGTTTATTGTTAAAAAAACAGCTAATAAAACAATGAGTAAACAAGCCCGGCATTCCTACCCTACCCGGCCTAGAAATCCCAACCTTTGTTTTTAATCTTTGTTATTGTTTTTGATAAAACATTCCTATTACGTCACAGTAAAGTTTGTACACAAACACTATCCCCCTAACCTTAGATCTACACATTTCGGTCACATCAACATCAATCTTGAATATCAAATACGTATAATGAAAATTTAGTAATTTTCAAAACTGGATCGTCTTTGGTGTGTCGCAACATCTCGGCCTTTAAATTTACCTGATTAAATATGTTTATCGCTTTCATAAAGCATCATATTCATAGTACATAATAATCACAGTGATTTAAACGTTGCAAGCTCTCAAGTAAAAATCGTTGAAAATTTTGCCAATTACTAATTAAAAGCATGACTAGGACTACAAAAATATAAATGAATTAATTCAAATTAGTTTTAAAATAATTTTTGTAATTAATATAAATTTAAAGACGAATTGTTAAGAGAATTTGACGCCAGAAAATTTGATTTTGAATTTCAAAGAATCCGCCCCTCCCCCCTTATCCAACGCACTAAAGAGCAGTCATAAAGTTGGTATGTTCATATGCATTACGAACGCTGTCCTAGCTGCGGCGGTATTTTTTACATGTTTAGAGCACTTTTAGCCCAACTACCATGTCTAGCCAGTCTCTCCCTTTAAAGATTTATTCTTGTTAAGTTGTTTAACTGCGGGACTTTATAAGATTAACACTTTTAAGTAGAGGAGGTCCATAGATTTTTAGCTAGTTTTGAACCTTTCAAAACAAATAAAAAAATAGAATTAATTTATTTTCAAGAGTCAGGGTATTATACAATTTTACAATTGATAAAGAAATAATGAATATATGATATTTCTCAAATTGATCAGCGGCGTGTACAGAAGAGAGTGCTCATGAACCCCCCCCCCCCTCCTCTGTTCACGTTCTTGATCAGGGGCGTGTACAGAAGAGAGTGCTCATGAAACCCCCCTCCTCTGAATACTCCCTTGAAATTTGTTGTCTTGTATTTACATATTTTTACTGTTTACAAGATTTGAGCAAGCATGATAAATCGATACAGTGTGTCCTATAAAACTGTCGAAATGGGATATAGAAGCCTACAGGGCGAATATAAAAAGTATAGTTTAACAGCAGCTTTATTAATCAAAGGCACGAAAAAAACAAAGCAAGGATTATAAAGGAACTGTAGTATAATTTCAAGTCACCCTCCATACACAGATTGAAATGCCCGATTTACAACGGTACCCTTAAAGCTTTAATCTGTCTACTTTCATTCGCGGTTTCAGTTCAAAAATGATTTGCGCATTTCTTGCTTAAAAAAGCAATGGAGAAATTATAGATATTAAACACTTTTCGAGTGAGAAAAACGAAGTTATCTTCCACATTTTTGATCAGATTAAGGTTTTAAGGACACCGTTGTAAATCGGGAATTGCTATTTTTGCACGGAGGGTCACTTAAGAAATTACACTTACAGTTCCTTTATGAACTAAAAAGATAGTTTTACAATCAACTATGACGTATTAGAACAGCTTAAAGAAAACAGACAACAGTTGGTAAACAGGGATTGCCCAGGCCCGGCCCTCATATTAGTTAATTATACCTAACCTTGTTTACAATACTTGTCATCTTTATATATAGATATGGTTTGTATCTTCAATCATAACTTATGAACCCTTTGACTGATTTGCCTTAAATTTTGTTTGGGAAACTTTGTAGAATCATGAGAATATTCTTATCTTGGTTGTCAAAAATTGAAATTGAGTGAGTTTTTAGCTAAATTTTAGTTTCCAGTCAAAACTGGGTTCCCAAGCTAGTTGTTTATAAAACTGGGTTCCCAAGCTAGTTGTTTATAAAACTGGGTTCCCAAGCTAGTTGTTTATAAAACTGGGTTCCCAAGCTAGTTGTTTATAAAAGTGGGTTCCCAAGCTAGTTGTTTATAAAACTGGGTTCCCAAGCTATTTGTTTATAGAACTGGGTTCCCAAGCTAGTTGTTTAAAAACTGGGTTCCCAAGCTAGTTGTTTATAAAACTGGGTTCCCAAGCTGTTTATAAAACTGGGTTCCAAAGCTAGTTGTTTATAAAACTGGGTCCCAAGCTAGTTGTTTATAAAACTGGGTTCCCAAGCTAGTTGTTTATAAAACTGGGTTCCCAAGCTAGTTGTTTATAAAACTGGGTTCCCAAGCTAGTTGTTTATAAAACTGGGTTCCCAAGCTATTCATAAAACTGGGTTCCCAAGCTAGTTGTTTATAAAACTGGGTCCCAAGCTAGTTGTTTATAAAACTGGGTTCCCAAGCTAGTTGTTTATAAAACTGGGTTCCCAAGCTAGTTGTTTATAAAACTGGTTTCCCAAGCTAGTTGTTTATAAAACTAATTATAAAAATGTATTCAGTATTTTATTTTGTTTTAGCTTTTCAAGAATTAAAAACTTTAAAACTGGTTTCCCAAGCTAGTTGTTTATAAAACTAATTATAAAAATGTATTCAGTATTTTATTTTGTTTTAGCTTTTCAAGAATTAAAAACTTTCAGTTTAAAGTTAAATTTAAGTTGAGAAGGCTTTGAAATATAAGTCGGCAGCAGAAAAGGGAAGTTTTGTTTTCAAAAATGTTTTAATTTTTGATTAAATATTGATAAAAATATGATTTTCATTGTTTAAAGTGTATTATTATCTTTTGTGGAAATTGTACTGTAGTTTAGGAGGAATAAAAACATAACACAAACTTTAGTTTATGAACTAAAGAAAACTGAGTGAACTTTTTCTCTTACATATTTACATATTTTTACTAGATTTTCTGGTTAATTCGTTGAGCTGTAATAGGAGAGGGGAGGTATCAGAGGGGGAGGGAGTATAGTGACACCCCTCCCCTTTTCCTAGTTTTTCTCATTTTCCGTTCTGTCTGTTTATTAGATAACTTCCTCTTCTATCTTCTCCCATATAACCTGGAGAAACAGAAACCATTCAGTTAAACAGATAGTTTGGAGCAGAATAGTTTATAACAGGAACCCTTCAGTTATACAGATAGTTCGGAGCAGAATAGTTTATAACAGGAACCATTCAGTTATACAGATAGTTTGGAGCAGAATAGTTTATAACAGAAATTATTACATATAGTTCGGAGCAGAATAGTTTATAACAGGAACTATTCAGTTATACAGATAGTTCGGAGCAGAATAGTTTATAACAGGAACCATTCAGTTATACAGATAGTTCGGAGCAGAATAGTTAATAATAGGAACCATTCAGTTATACAGATAGTTCGGAACAGAATAGTTTATAACAGAAATTATACAGTTATACATATAGTTCGGAGCAGAATAGTTTATAACAGAAACCATACAGTTATACAGATAGTTCGGAGCAGAATAGTTTAAAACAGGAACCATACAGTTATACAGATAGTTCGGAGCAGAATAGTTTAAAACAGAAATTATACAGTTATACAGATAATTCGGAGCAGAATAGTTTATAACAGGAACCATTCAGTTACACAGAAAGTTCGGAGCAGAATAGTTTATAACAGGAACCATACAGTTATACAGATAGTTCGGAGCAGAATAGTTTATAACAGGAACCATACAGTTACACAGAAAGTTCGGAGCAGAATAGTTTATAACAGGAACCATACAGTTATAAGTTCGGAGCAGAATAGTTTATAACAGGAACCATACAGTTATACAGATAGTTCGGAGCAGAATAGTTTATAACAGGAACCATACAGTTAAGAGGTTTCGAGAATTTCTTTCTGTAAGAGGTTTTGTGAATTTACAGACTAATAAGAGGTTTTGGGAATTACTGACTAATAAGAGGTTTTGTAAATTTACAGATTAATAAGAGGTTTTTTGAATGTACAGACTAATAAGGGGTTTTGTGAATTTACAGATTAGTATGAGAATTTGTGAATTCACAGACTAATATGAGGTTTTGTGAATTTACAGACTAATTAGAGGTTTTGTGAATTTACAGATTAATAAGAGGTTTCGTGAATTTACAGACTAATAAGAGGTTTTTTGAATTTACAGACTAATAAGAGGTTTTGTGAATTTACAGACTAATAAGAGGTTTTGTAAATTTACAGATTAATAAGAGGTTTTTTGAATGTACAGACTAATAAGAGGTTTTGTGAATTTACAGACTAATATGAGAATTTGTGAATTCACAGACTAATATGAGGTTTTGTGAATTTACAGACTAATTAGAGGTTTTGTGAATTTACATATTAATAAGAGGTTTCGTGAATTTACAGACTAATAAGAGGTTTTTTGAATTTACAGACTAATAATAAGTTTTGTGAATTTACAGACTTATAAGAGGTTCTGAGATGATATGGGATGAAGGATGTGAACCAAGCAGGCGCCTCTAAGTCGATGCAAAAATAAAATACAGGCTTAAAGGGGAGTTTCTTTCAAATCGTAAAAAAACTAGGGAAGACTTTCTTTATTTTTGAGTGGTTGAATCCGCAACTCTACCTTGTTCCAGCTCTGTGACATTAAGACCGAGATTTTCTCCGAAGGGAGTTATCTGTCCTTCTCTTTTCTTCTTCTCAAGAGCTTTTCTTTTCTCATCAATCTGCTCCTTACGCCGCTCACTCTTGTAGAAGTTCGCAAAATTATTTCCTGGAAAAAATTTGAGATTTTTCTTAAATATAATAACAGGAAGAACAAGATTAAGAACAAGACTAAGAACAAGATTAAGAACAAGATTAAGAACAAGATTAAGAATAAGACAAAGAACAAGATTAAGAACAAGATTAAGAACAAGATTAGTAACAAGATTAAGAACAAGATTAAGAACAAGATTAAGAACAAGATTAAGGACAAGATTAAGAAAAAAGATTAAGAACAATATTAAGAACAAGATTACGAACAAGATTAAGAACAAGATTAAGAACAAGATTAAGAACAAGATTAAGAACAAGATTTAGAACAAGAATAAAGGTAAGACTAAGAGTATTAACAAAAGAAATAATAATGGTAATAACCAAAATTAAGAAAAAGACTAAGAGTGATAACAAAAAAAACAAGACCTAGAGCAAGAGTAAGAGTAAGAATAAGAGTATGAGTAAAAGAACATGATTATAATATAATAAGTAGAACAAAAACCAGAAAAGAGAGCAAGAGCAATAACAAAAATTTAGAACATGTGCAAGAACAAGAGGAAGAATAAGAGTAAGAAAGATACCAAGAACTAGAACAAGAATAAGAATAAAAGTCAAAGTAAGGATAAGAGTGTGAGCAAGAGAAAAAGCAAGAGGAAGAGCAAAGTAAGAGAAATAAAATAAAAATAAAAGAAAGAGCAAGACCGACAGCCAATAAAGAGTATAAAAGCATAAACAAGAGCATGGATGAGAGGAAGAGCAAGAGCTAGTAAAAGGATAAGAAAAAAAACAAGAACATGAGTAAACTTAGAACAAGAGCACAAATCAGAAAAAGAGCAAAAACAAGAAAAACAAAAGACACTAGCAAGAACTAAGTAAAAAGCAAAGGCAAGCAATATTACCAATGATAGGAATAGGGAGGGCAACAACTAGAACGCCGCAAATAGCGCACATTGAGCCGCAAACTCGACCCAGAGCCGTTGTCGGAGCTATATCTCCATATCCAACCTAAAACAGGATAAAATCTTCAAGGTTTTAACAAAAAATTTGCGAGTAAAAAATTCTCAATTCTTTTGAGGTCAGAACTTTTGAATAGTTAATCCCTTCACACTAATTCGTATGTTAACATATTAAGTTAAATCCATATTTATATATCTAAATTTTACACCAATCAGAATATGCTCTCGGAAAATACATCTCGAAATTACGTTTCATCCGTTTTCATTGATTAAGTAATTAATCCTTCCAATTAAAAGTTTCCTCTGTGTACATCAAAATTAAGGTGTTGCAGATTAGACCTATATAATTCAAAAGTGTTCATCCTTGATCACATTATTTTTAAAATGTGTTGACAAATATATAAAGAGAAAAAATACCGTTGTCATAGTAATGAGTGCCCACCAGTAAGCATCTAGCATAGTTTCAAACTTTGTATCCTCCACGTTCTCTTTCTCAAATACAAAAGTCAAGGAGGCAAAAATCAAAATCTGAATAAAATTTAAATCATTAGTTTTCTGGGATTTTTTTCGGTGAGATATTAGTATGCTGCCTATTTGTGAACTACTTTATCTACAACTAGCTGAAGGGCCCGGCGTTGCCCGTGGAAAAATTTCGATTTTTTAGCCTGTAACACCCCCCGGCCACCCCTGAGTGTCCACATAAAATTTCCGCCCAATCGGTCCAGCCGTTTGGCCGGCCATCCTATTACATTATATATATATACGAATGTCTTGGTTTTTTTTTATATATAGACAAGACCCATAAAACTGTATAATAGGAAGCTGTTAGACTTAACTCTAAAATAGTCCAATGAACGTGAAACACCACAATTGTTCAGTATTCACGTGGGATTGAAAGTTTACACGTTTTCAATCATAATTCCAATGTTTGAAGAGAACGATAATGTGTTGAATTTCTAGTATGGAACTTAATAAATGCTATTTTTATACTTGTGTGTATAATAATCAAAACTAGAAGTGTCACGAGGTCAAAATGTCGTACTAGTAATGTCGCTTAAATTTGACTTTCTCCTTCTGTGACTCTCTAGTGCTAGTGAAGTATGAATGATTGTTACGTTGTTTAGTAATCAGAATTTGTTTCATAAAAACACGAAAATACGCAAAAGATTTTGTTAATGTCGTCTTCCCATTCCCCTGTAGGATTTATCCCACTGTTATTAATGGTATACTGACCCCCATAGTGATGAAGAGCATGAGAAGACCGAGCTCCTTGTAACTGTTCTTCAAGGTGTACCCCAGGCTCTGCAGTCCAGTAGAGTGCCGAGCAAGCTGATAATAGTTATAGGGACTGTAAACATAATTACAAGTGACTCTCCGTTTCAAGAATGGCATGTTGGATTTGCAACGGTGCCCTTAAAAAGTATTGTCTGATCAAGTAGAATTAGAAATATATGTTATTTCTCTACAAAAGATTCAGAATTCAACAGATTAAACACTTTTAAATCTAGAAACAACGTATCTTCCACATTATTGATTTACAGATTAAGGTTTCAAGAGTAACGTTGTGAAACAGGCATACCCACCCATATATCTCTCACAATTTCTCCTTCTCAACTTATTTTGTATTTTAAAAACCATTTGCCAAAATTTTGCAAATGGAAATTGTTGCCAATAATTCTAGTTTTTGTGGTTCGGAATTAGAATTAATTCTTATTCGTTTATTGTTCAATGCTCATGCATTAGTAAACGTTGTTTGAAGTTAAAATAATAGTGTTTAATTATCATTAAGATTATTCAAATAAAAATTAATGATTTAGTAGCTTTCTATTCAATAATAATGTTGAAATTAAAGAATTCTGTTTAAAAATATAAAATAAATTGTATTTTAACCTCAAATACAACAAATATAAATTAAACTGTATTTTAACCTCAAATACAACAAATATAAATTAAACTATATTTTAACCTCAAATACAACAAATTAATCAAATTTAATTATCATTATTTTTCACTAAAGTACGGAGAACTAAATTAGTTGATGCAGTTTTTATTGTGCTTGATGTGCACTTCTCCTTGTGCGTCCTTCATGGGTGTTCTCAATGTGCGTCCCCCAGAAGCGTTCCCAATATGCATCTTTATTTGCTGTCCTCCATGTGGAGTCAGTTCTCAATGTTCTTTCTCAATCTGCGTCCTCCATGCGCGTTCTCAATGTGCGTCCTCTATGTGCTTTCTCAATGTGCGTCCTTCATGTGCATTCTCAATGTGCGTCCTCCATGTGCATTCTCAATGTATGTACTCAATGTGCGTCTTCCATGTGAATTCTCAATGTATGTTCTCAATGTGCGTCCTCAATGTGCGTCTTCCATGTGCATTCTCAATGTAAGTTCTCAATGTGCGTCTTCCATGTGCATTCTCAATGTAAGTTCTCAATGTGCGTCCTCAATGTGCATTCTCAATGTGCGTCCTCAATGTGCGTCGTCCATGTGCATTCTCAATGTATGTTCTCAATGTGCCTCCTCAATGTGCGTCTTCCATGTGCATTCTCAATGTAAGTTCTCAATGTGCGTCCTCAATGTGCATTCTCAATGTGCGTCCTCAATGTGCGTCGTCCATGTGCATTCTCAATGTANGGGGGGGGGGGAGGTGAATGAAGACTACTTTTCCCCTATGATTACTGTACCTTAAATATTCTCACTATTCTCATAATTCTGAAGAACTGAGCGATCCTTCGAACCTCTGTTAACTCTCCGCTGTTCGAGTTCGTGTTCAGTAGGATTAGGCTCACATAATATCTGAACAGTGAACATTAAAGGAGCTGTACGTAATATCTGAACAGTGAACATTAAAGGAGCTGTACGTAATATCTGAACAGTGAACATTAAAGGAACTGTACGTAATATCTGAACAGAGAACATTAAAGGAACTGTACGTAATATCTGAACAGTAAACATTAAAGGACTGTTCGTAATATCTGAACAGAGAACATTAAAGCAACTGTACGTAATATCTGAACAGTGAACATTAAAGGAACTGTACGTAATATCTGAACCAAAGAAACTGGTAACGTAATTTCAAATGACCCAAAGGAAGCCAAAACATACAATGATAACCAGAAAGCTCTAGAATAGGAAGTCGACTTTTAGACTGAAGTTATGACTTTAAATAAGCCATTGAACATGAGACACAGCAATTGTGCATTGTAAAAAGACCCATTTCACTTAATAAGTGATTTTATAGCTTACTAGTAAAGCTATTTGCTTTGTAACAATATCAAATGCACTTCAGAATTGCTTTAATGTCGTCTTACTTTTCTACTGTTTTTTCTGGTTGTCACGGTATGAAAGTATAAAAGTTTTAGGAAAGTGTTATTAAAATGTAAAACTTTGAAAAGACTTACGGTAGAACTGCAAGTAGATCGATTACATTCATTGGAGTTTTAACAAACTTGCATTTATCAGGACACCTACAGATAGATAGATAGTTAGATAATTAGTTAGTTAGTTAGTTAGTTGGTTAGTTGGTTAGTTAGTTAGTTAGTTAGTTAGTTAGTTACTTAGTTAGTTATTTAGTTAATTAGTTAGCTAGTTAGTTAGTTATTTGGTTAGTTAGTTAGTTAGTTTAGTTAGTTAGTTAGTTAGTTAGTTAGTTACTTAGTTAGTTATTTAGTGAATTAGTTGTTTAGTTAGTTAGTTAGTTAGTTAGTTAGTTAGTTAGTTGGTTAGTTAGTTAGTTAGTTATTTAGTTAGTTACTTAGTTAGTTATTTAGTTAATTAGTTAGTTAGTTAGTTAGTTACTTAGTTAGTTATTTAGTTAATTAGTTAGTTAGTTAGTTAGTAAGTTAGTTAGTTAGTTAGTTAGTTAGTTAGTTAGTTAGTTAGTTAGTTAGTTAGTTAGTTAGTTAGTTAGTTAGTTGGTTAGTTAGTTAGTTAGTTAGTTATTTAGTTAGTTAATTAATTAATTAGTTAGTTAGTTTGTTAGTTAGTAAAACTTCGAAAACGAAGTGGAAACACGCTCACTGATAAATTGTTTTTGTCTTGTATGCGTAAGCTTTTGCTTACGTAAAAATAAATTATTTTTTAAAGTAAAAAGAATTAAAAATATAATGAAACTAACGATATGAGTCTGATGAGAAGTTCAAAAGTGAACCAGGACATATAGATCGCCTCGGCTAGAGAAAAAAGAGGATAATCTATCTCCTCAGTCTCATCCCCACCCTCTCCTGCTCCTGCCTAAACATAAACAATCTCTTCTATATCCTTTATACCATCTCCAGATCCTGCATAAACATAAAAAATATCTTCTATATCCTCTATACCATCTCCTGCTCCTGCCTAAACATAAACAATCTCTTCTATATCCTCTATACCATCTCCTGTTCCTGCCTAAACATAAACAATCTCTTCTATATACTCTATACCATCTTCAGATCCTGCCTAAACATAAACAATCTCTTCTATATACTCTATACCATCTCCAGATCCCCCCTAAACATAAACAATCTTTTCTATATACTCTATACCATCTTCAGATCCTGCCTAAACATAAACAATCTCTTCTATTTACTCTATACCATCTCCTGCTCCAGCCTTAACATAAACAATCTCTTCAACCTCCTCTTTACAAGAGATTATAAAATGTACTATTTATCTTTTTGTTGGAAACCCACTAGGAAGGTTTACAGATCGTCAAGGTTGAAGATACAGGAGAAATTCACAGAAATTAACTCTTTTCGAGTCAGGATATCTTCCACATTTTTGATCAGATTAAGATTTCAAGGGTACCGTTGTAAATCGGGCATTGTCATCTGTGCATGGAGGGTCACGTAAAATTTGCTTACTGTCCCTTTAAAGACGCCATTTCATGCTATATATATCAATATACTCGATATGTATCAACCTCTCACCTAGATTTGACCTTATTATGAATATTCTTGGTATCAATTCATGCATAGTGTATACCTACATATTTGTTTGTTACGGACGTCATGTTTCTATTAATAACTCCAAATTTTGCGGTTTTTTTCTGTAAACATTGATTTGTTTCTAAAATGAAAAAATCGACATTTTTCCAGGTAATTTTCCCCCCTTTTAACCATCTTGGCCCCCTGGGTTGAGGTAATAATATTTGTTCGCGCAATTTCAAAATTTAACAAAAATCGAAAACTTTTGGGTACAATGTTTTGTAATTTAAAACACCATAAACCATCCCCATGGAGTCATGTGAGGTCCCAAACAAAATTTGGGCTCGATCGGTTTTAACGTTTATTGTATACTAACAGAAAAAAAGACAGACAAGCAAAGTATATATATACTAGACTTTTAGGGTGCTTCAAACCCATCTTCTCTTTTAACTGTGAAATTGTTCTCTTTGTAAACAAATACAAAAAATAATTCTGCGGATTCGTAGATTTTGAAAATGTTCAAAGAATTAATGAAAATCGAATTTTGATGGAAGCAAATTTTTGATAATTTGATCATTCATAAACCTTCCCTGGAGCCACGGGAGGTCCCACACAATGCAAAATGATAAAATTATATTTTGAGAGTCAAATTATTATGATTTGTATAAATACCTGAAAGTATGGTAAGGTATTGAGAGTTAACACTATTGTTGAAATGATGATGAAAAGAATGGATATAATCGCTACAACCTAAAATAAAAAAGATAAATAAATATTTTTATAATTGTTTATAACAAGATATTACTTACCCCAAACATAACATTACTTATCCCAAACCTAACTGAACTTATACCCAGATTTAAAATCACAGGAATTGCAGCTTCATAAATGCAAAATGTGTTAAATCAAACGAAATTTTAGAATCTACAATGTCATTGGTTAACCAACAGCTGATGCCAATAATCGATATTAGAAATTCTTTCGTAAATGTCTAGAAAGAATATTACCCTGGTTTCGATATAAACATCAGGAAAGCATTAATTATTTAAACTATTTAAACAAAAATCACCGAACTTTCCAGAAACGTTGGATTGAACATTCCTCCTTGCTTCAATATATCAATCAATTTATAAAAAGAAAATATTAAATATCAAAATCAAAAATGCGCAAATTTTTTCATACAACTGTTTTTTTGAGATTGAAAATTCAAGATTTTTCTTAAAAACATGTTGAACAAGACAAAATTGTGAAATATACATTCCTTTATAAAAGCTGGTTATTTGGTATGCAAAAATTTTCATTTAATCCCGCCCCTTTTAAAAATAATAATAAATAATAAAAATAATTTGTTATTTTTTACAAAGGATCGAATATCGGGATTCAATGATAAACCCGGGGGTTTAAATTTCCATTGATTCTAATTTGTCGGATAGTAAATGATACATTTATTCAATTTAAGTCACTAAAGGCTATTGAAGAAACCTTATATAAAAACAGATTTGCTATACAATATTTAGATGCTTAAATAAGCCCGTAATATTCAATTTCAAATTCACTTATCCTTTGTTTTGTATAAAAATGTGCGGAACAGACTTATGAAAATCCACGAATATGTAAAAATCGGGTTTGCGGCATAAAAAGCGACTTATTTGCATCGAAACAAATACGAAAGCTTTATCCCATGGATCGAGAAATTAAGAATAAAAATTCGTGATAACAATTCTCTTAAAATTGATTTAAAATTACCTTAGCTCCGAGTGAGGTATGAGGTTTCTCAAATAGATCCCAGAGACACTTTTGTATTCGTCCGATGGCTCCTGGTCGGAAATATTCAGGTTCCTCTACCTAGAGATGGGTTTGGTTGGATAAAGTAACTAAAATTCGGACCCTAAAGTGTTGCCAACTCCTAAAGATGGGTCTAGTCGATCCGGAAAGAGGAAAAACTTAGACCCAAATACAAAATATTAGGCCCATATTCTAGAGTTGGGGGCTAAGCCCCCTCCGAATATTTTTTTGGGCCTTAAAGCAAAATATTTGGGCCTAATTTTAAATATTTTAGCAAAACAGCTGATTTCTTGCTTCTTTGATTCAAATATACTCCAGCTTAAGAATCTGAATAGAAAAGAAGAGGAGAGGGGGGCAATCTTGATAAGTGTTTGTTTGTATCTAATAAACGTCAAAACGGCTGAACTGATCGGGCCTAAATTTTGTGTGGGACCTCACATGACTCCAGGGAAGGTTTAGGGATTTCAAAAATTAGTCTTCAACAGAATTCGATTTAAATTAAAATTTTGAAAATTCACGAATATTTTTCACAAAATTCACGAACTTTTTTTGTTTTTGTTTTACAGTGTATACAAAACAAAGAGAGACATGTTCTCAATTGTAATAGAAGATGGGGGCGAAAAGCCTAATATATAATAATATTCATTAGAATAGAATCCATGATTTTAAAACTTGTTTACTTAGAGGAAGAGTGTGAATATTTTCAAACTCATAAAGTCATTTCATTCTTCCTTCATCCAAACAAGTCTTTACCGATTAATATCAACAATTTCATTCGGCCCAAAATTCGGCCCACAATTTTCTTAAGCCCAAAGCAATTTCATTCGGACTGTTTTCTCGTTATGGGCCTAAGATTCGGGCGGTTGGCAACACTTGAATAAGTCCCTAATTCCAAAAATGGCAATTGTATCTAGAGTTCAACCCAGAACTTCGGAAACATTGAAAGAATTTATAAATTGTCGTCTTAATCATTTCCCATTAGGGTTTATACTTTTATACCTAAACATAATTGTAATAAATGAATTAATACCATTGAAATATGCAAGAACAGTTTTAAAGAGCTCCATATAATTATTCAATTAAAAACTAAATATCTGAAGCATTTCATAATCAGTGTATTTTTATAATTTTATTTTATAAATTCTTTCACTGTCTTCATAGTTAAACTGTATATTATAATATTTTCAAAAAGAGCTCAACAATCTGCTAAAGAAGTTGCTTTGATTAAGGCAAAAGAGTTATAAAGATTAGAGTATAGGTGTTGTAACGGAGCTTGAGCACATGCGGAATCAGGTAGATTTTAAAAACATTTTAAACACTAGAGGCGCCAAGGTTATAATGCAAGGAAAGTTAATTGCAGTTGCGAATACTTGTCCCATGTCAGGCTTCGGCATCCGTCTTGTGTTTACATTACCGCCCCAGTACAAAAGATGTGTGCACCTCTAAATACTTTCCTTGCATTATAACTTTGAGAGGCGCTATGTTCGCTTTGAAGTTAAGAAATGTAGAACCCTGTAAAAGAAAGCAAGCGAATCATGTGTATTTCTTTAGTTTTCTACAGACTCAGTGACTTCAACGCCGGAAAATTAATTAAAATGTTCACATAACAGTCTGACCCAAGGAGAATTGAATAGAAGGAGGGGGCGATAAGGTTTTCGTACACTTTGCTGTGACGTTTTTGGACTGCTGAAGAACTAGTTTTTGCGTAACAACAATAACAAATGCAGCCGATCTAATGTAAACAAACATGAGTTAGTATACGGTGAATCTTCATCTAAAGCCAGAGATAGGTCAGATGTCTGTTTATTATTTGTGTTATTGTTTACAATCTTTGTTATTGTTGTTACGCAAAAACTAGTTCTTCAGCAGTCCAAAAACGTCACAGCAAAGTGTACGGAAACCTTATCGCCCCCTCCTTATATTCAATTCTCCTTGGTCTGACCAGACGTTAAGGTGAGGGGGTTCAAGCGATCCCAGGCAGGAAATGGGGGGAAGGGGTTTAGGTGGATGGGGGCGGGGAGGACAACTCTATCTTTCTCTCGCATACTTTATTGCAGTACACTAATTGTTTGTTTACCTTCTCCGCCCGGTCCAGTGACATAAGTTCTCTGGTTTGATAATATCTTTGCTGACAGCAGGGTTCTGAAAAAGGTTGGGTAAGAATAAGTATCATATAACTTTTAATTTGCTGTTGTAAAACTTAAATTTAGTCTATTTAAAAGAAAAAAATAAATTTCATATAATATTTCGGAAAAGATCGGAATTTTTTTTTAATATATTACAATTGCAACTGGTCAAACTATACAAAGTATATTTTTAAATTTCTAATATGTAACCCGCGATAATTATGTATTTCTCTATACTTGTGCAGCATACAATAAAAACTATGAGAAGCTACGAGGTCCCATAGTCGGACCATCAATAGTTTTTTATCTAGTTTTTCGTTAAAGTTTTAAGGAGTAAAGTACACCAAGTAAACTATAAAGTAAATATATATATTATACATAATTTATTTTTCAAGGTTTGATACGTATCATTAGCAACTTTCACCGAAGGTTTTAGGTTTAGATTCTATCGATAATAATTAACAATATTTTCAATAATTAACCACAAACTAATTTACAAATAAAAAAACTTAAACATTTCTTATTTTTAAGCGAATTAAACTTGTTTTAAAAACAGCGGGGTTTATAAAACAGCGGAATAGTAAGACACTACTGTTAGACTTTAAATACACTCTAAGAAATGTTAAATTTTCAACTGAAGAAATTTGTTAAAGTACCGGAGCCAAAGGAGTTGAGTTTTTGCCACAAACTCAAATCTTCTGATCCCAATATCTTTGCAACCTGATGGTGCAAACCTTTGATATTTCAAACTTAGATTGTTTTATCTATAAGTATTAATAGCTTGAAATATCTAAGGTCTACGACATTGGGTTACAAAGATATAGAGATTAGAAAATCAGAGTTTGTGGCAAAAACTCAATTCCTTTAACTTTCTAACAACATTCTTCAAATTTAGGTCTATGACAATTATTATTGATCAACAATTGAAGAATAATGCTCCTTTGTTAAATATGGTTCCGGTGCTCCAACACATTTTGTTAAATAAAAATTTGTAATTCAATCAATATGAAACACAGCAATTGTGCAGTGTACACAGACCCTGTTAAGTAAATTTACAAGCTAGCGGTAAAATGATTTGCTTCATTAAAACATCAAATGCATAAATAGTGTCTACTTTCTTCCTATTCTATAGTTGTATGGGTTACATTGGAAAAATACCAAATTCTTTTTAGACTTCTGAAACTTTTGTTTTCAAAAAGGCATTTTTTAAAGTTATTTTAAAGTTATACAACTAAAATTATTTTTAATATTAATATTAAATTTGTTTTTGTAATATTAAAAATTATCTACTATTTTCTAACAGAGACAAAAAGTTGCCTTGAAATAATTAATTATAAAAAAATCGAATTTGTTGTGAGTTTTCCTGTATTGAAAGGAATATCATTAAAGTTTTAAGAAGTTTTCCTTAATAAGAATATAAACAAAGTTTATAGTTATGTGGAGTTTAAAAAACTGATAAAATGAAGTTAAAAGCAAAAATCCTAGTTAAAGGAACTGAGTTTTTGACACAAACTCAAATATTCTTGTACCTATATCTTGGAAACCCATTGTCGTAGACCTTAGATATTTCAAACTATTAATTCTGTTAGGTCAAATAATCCAAGTTTGAAATATCAAATGTTTACACCCACTAGTTGCAGAGATATAGAAATTAGAAAATTTGAGGTTGTGGCAAAAACTCAATTCCTTTCAACGTTTTTGAATGAATATTTAAAGGTATAGAGAGCCTACGTAGGTATTTACGTAAATGCATGTTTTTGAAGAACATATTTGTCAAAAGCTTTGGCTCAAAGGTCAGAATTTTTTTATGTAAACATGCATTTTTAATTCAAACTGTCTCTTATTTAAATCTGAGAAAATGGATAAAAATTTTAATTCAATTTTTCATAATTTTAAAATCCCGATTTTTTAAAAAATCAGCTTTTTTCAAACTTCCGATAGAAACGGATTAAAGAAGAGTTTAAGAAACGATTTAGAATTAGAATTTAGACCCAGAATTAACCATATATACAAGAAGAGTCTAGTGCCATTATGAATTAACCAGCTCATGAATTAACCATATATACAAGAAGAGTCTAGTGCCATCATGAATTAACCATATATACAAGAAGAGTCTAGTGCCATCATGAATTAACCATATATACAAGAAGAGTCTAGTGTTATCATCACCACGTAAATAATTTTTTCAGTCTGTTCCAAAATTAAATAAAAAAGTGTAAAAACAGGAAATAAAGAACACAAAATGGCACTTTTTGCACTTCATTATCACTATCAATAATAGTTTTGTCACTTAAAACTGTTGACACATGTGACGTAAGTATACAGCCGTACTAAGAGTGTACAAATTCTACGTTGCCATCTATTGTACTTGATAATCTATTTGTATATATGAAATGTTATATATTGTTCTTGATAATCTATTTGTATATATGAAATGTTATCTATTGTTCTTGATCATCTATTTGTATATATGAAATGTTATCTATTGTTCTTGATAATCTATTTATATATATGAAATGTTCAAATCAAATCAAATCATTTATTACACGAAGATTAATATTTTTACAATATAAATATCACATAGAAAAGTATAATCCTCGTGAGGGAAAATTAATCTGGGGAAGATAATTCTCACAGCTTGCTTTTGTTTAGTACGGATCAAGTTAAGATTCTTGCTACTAGTACAACTATAGACAGGAAGACAATAAAGTAAGTGAGGGTGGAAAAGAGCATAGTATTAAGTTATATATTGTTCTTGATAATCTATTTGTATATATGAAATGTTATCTATTGTTCTTGATAATCTATTTGTAAATATCAAATGTTATAGATTTATATAACAAGAAGGAAATAGACCCCGGCCATAGTCTATTTAGGGTAAACTAGACGTCAGTCGAAATATGGTTTAATTATCGTCATGAGCACTCATGGCATTATGCTACCGTTCATTTGAACTAATATCTGAACTTTCAGTTCAGTTAACGAGACAAATCTGAACAGTTCTTCCCATCATTAAACTTGTACTTGTGGACCCATTTACACCCGCTAAATAAAGGTTTTTAGTGTTTTCTACTTTACATTTGTTTGTTGGGTAGTTTATTTTTATTATTTTAATTATGATCATTATTATTTTTAACAGGTTTCGAATTAGAGATAAATATATGTCTGAACATAAGTGAATAAAGACAAGAAGTGTACTTGTTGTAGTTAGTTATACGCAAATATATTCTAGTACAATAGATGGCAACGTAGAATTTGTACACTCTTAGTACAGCTGTATTTCTGACGTCACAAGTGTCAATTCAGTTTTTGTGTCCGACAAAATTATTAATAATTGTGATAATTTAAATTTTGTGATAACATAAGTTCAATTTTATGTGTTCTTTAGTTTCTTTTTTCACACTTTTTTATTTAATCTTGGAAAACATGCTATATTTGACACTTGTGATAGGCTTGTGACATCGTGTATAATTGGTCCATTTCTCTGTTGCCACCTATTGTACTTGAGAATCTATTTGGTTCTACACTACCTGTTTCGTCAATTAATTAATTAATTATTTAATTTTCCAAAAATTTTCTTTCTTAAACGGAACCTTACCTAGATAAAGTTCGTCTATCCCCCAGTAATCTAAATCTTGTTTAAATGCTATAACACATCCCTCCTCTCCTAGATGTAGTTTACCAGTTCGATAGAAGTTCACTATTGCACCGAAACTCCGTGGGTGTCGGTCAAAATAAAATTCATTCTCCTAAACATTATAAGATTTTATTAGAGCACCAAAAAAAATTTAACTTAGCCTTCATTATGTAAAAATTTTCATAGCGAAAATCTTTCGGCGTTTATAAATTTTTTCCAAAATTTTTCTTGTCAAAATTGTAAAATTTTACTAATAAAAGAATCTAATTGTTGATAAAGGCTATAGGAACCAAACCCTTTCATCAAACTCTAATTGTCAAATTATTATATCTTTGCAACCTATTACGGAGATTTTAATATTTCAAAAACTAATATATATATCTAGCATATTTAGCAAAACCATAAATAAATTGAGTCTTTGCCACAAACTCTGATTTTCTAATACCTATATCTTTGCAACCAATCTTAGTTAGTGGCAAACACTCAATTCCTTAATACACAGTTCAATTTTAATTTGAGAAAATACCTCAAGATTATATTTATCGCATAGATTCAAGATTTGATCAGAGTATCTCATTTCCTTCAGCTTTCCCAGTCTAGTTTGAGGCAATCTTTGGAGTAAACTCCAGGTTACGTAGAACCTAGAATACAGGGAGTACTAAACTTGTTTGGAGTAAACTCGAGGATACGTAGAACCTAGAATACAAGGAGTACTAAGGAGTAATCTTTGGAGTAAACTCCAGGTTACGTAGAACCTAGAATACAAGGAGTAATAAGGAGTAATCTTTGGAGTAAACTCCAGGTTACGTAGAACCTAGAATACATCGAGTATTAAGGTGTAATCTTTGGAGTAAGCTCCATGTTACGCAGAACCTAGAAAACAGGAAGTACTAAACTTATCTGAAGTAATTATTTCAGTTTAGATAGGAACTTTAATACAAGAATTTTCAAAGCTTATTCAAAATTTAGTACATTCTCTGTTATAAATCTGAAATATCCTTTTCAATTTTAATTTTTGAACAGACCCCGCCCCCCCAAACACCTACATGTCAAAAGTGTACACTTCTATTTATAATTTCTTATTGATGAACAATACATGGCAATAATAGAATTACACCTTCAACAAATACATCATACAATGAACCCAAGTCACTAATAATAGGGGGAGGGGGGAGGGCATTCATTTACATTTTATAGTTACACAATGCAGGAACCAGTACTATGGCGGGGGATGGGGGGGGGGAGTAATAGGTGCTCTCGTCGTAGTATTTTGTACTCTGTGTTCCTAGTCTCATTAGTGTTCTATCTGTAGTATTTAGTACTCTGTGTTCCTAGCTTCATTAGTGTTCTCTCTGTAGTATTTAGTAATCTGTGTTACTAGTTTTATTAGTGTTCTTTCTGTAGTATTTAGTACGCTGTGTTTGGAAATGTTAAAGGGTATAATTGTGATTAAATGTCACTAAATGTCATTATATTAATTTTATTAATTTTGACTTTATAACGGATAGTAGACGGTTTAGTTTTTAGTTATTAATTAGAAATTAGAAAATTAGAAATTGTGTTAACGATAATTAAAACAAAAATTAACTTTATTGTAGAAATTCCTCTACTTTACACCTAACAGTATAAAATAGAAAACCCCAAATCTGTCTGCATTTACTTTTTGTACATTATAAAACAACAACAAAAAAGATCGCGGAGTTGATTTGTTTTCGTGGATATTCAAAGTCTTACAAAAAAAACATATTTTGGAGACAAACTTTGTAATTCTGAGCATCCTTAAAGCTTCCCCGGGGTCATGTGAGGTCCCACAACAAATTTGGACCGGATTCAGCCATTTTGGATACAAACGGACGGACAGATAGACAGACAGTAGCATTTTTTTTCCTGAAAATAGATTTTATAAATCTTTAATTTTCTGTAAAAGCGACTTGCGAATTTATACAACAGAGCCAAAGAACGAAATTGACAGAATTGCAGTATGTTGATAGACTGACAAGTTAAGTCGTTTTCATTAAGATATCATAGAAACTTAAAATTATCATTTATAATTTCCTTACAAGGCTCCAATTTAACAATTCTATTAATTATTTAAAACTACTTTACAAGGAAGTTAATGGAATTTTACTTTACCAAGGGTTTCCCAGGCCAATTTTAGACCAATTGTGGACGAAATTGGTCGAGGGAACCCGTGGTTAAGGAAAAATTTCCCGAAAAGTAATTGTTATTGTCTTTTGAGATTGAAATGCGCGATTTTTTTCCCGAAAACTTCGCAGAGCGGGTGATTATTTTACATAACTGACCCAAGGGACGTTAAGTAACCTAACCTCCCTCTGTTGGGACGGTTTCTAAAATATAATAAAAGTTCTTTAATTAATTGCAATTATTCTGGAAAGCATTACAGCTTTCTAAGTTGTTTGGATCTATGGAACATAACAACATTATTGCTTAGCAGTTGACCAGAAAAGAGTCTTTACATTAGATATGTTAAATAATTAATACGGTGCTATGTTTACAGATGTTCATTTACTAGTACCTTTCAGAATATTGCAATAGTTACTTAAAGAAATTATAATAGTGCCCGGCGTTGCCCGTGAAAAAAATTTAAAAGATAAATTATATTTTGGAAAAAATTGAACTTTGTAACCTATGTTACCCCTGCTTTTCAATTATGCATTTAGGTTACAATTACCATGCGGGATATCGATTAAAGATAAATTAATCTGCAGACTAACATTCGATCGATATGAAGAATTGATCTCGATATCTACAATACAAGAGTTCCAGCTCTGAGGCCGAATTTAAAGAATTTGAACCACGGCTCAAATATGATACGAGGTTCACAGTTTAAATTCTTGAAATACGGCCTTTGAATGTATAAAATAGAATATAGCATGGCTTTATCTATGTGGAGTTGTACCTTATTCCTCCAACATTGATTATAACTGGAGCCTCTGGTATCTGCTCGGTGTCGAACTGCTCTAGCTTCTTCTGGGTCGGCCAGGAGGATGGCCGTGACGCGTCAGTCTCTGAAGGTTGCTGAAACAAGATTTTACGATTACCAAAACCCGTTGTTACAGTACATATGATTTTTTATAAAAGGTGTCAAAGCGAAGACACAAAAATCCGTTAAGAAATCATGAGAAATCTACAAAAAAGGACATTTTGATTATTGCAAAGAATTGTTACATTTAAAATGAATCTGGTGAATTTAGGGTTTCCATTCGCAAAACTTTTGCGCAATTTTTGCGGAACGAAACGCAAAATTTTTCTTTCTTTGCGCATCAGTTTTGCGCGAAAAAACAACAATTTGCGCAATCATTCGCAAAAGTCATTTCGCGCAAAATTGCCCTATTCCGCTTTTGCGAAACACAAGTTTTGCGCAATTCCGCAACTAGAGTTTTGCGCAATTCCACAATTACGTAAAATCAAACGGTTGGTGACGGTGTGTGTTTCTTATGATTCAATTCTGGAAAAATCTTGTTTTGGAATGTCTTCGATCCTATTGGTCACTTTTACATAATTGACCAATGACAGTTAAGAAGAGTTCAAATCTCACAATTTTCTCGACAATTTTAGTTTTGGACATGCATATTTCCTAAAAGTGGATTCTTCAGGCATTGGTTACTTTCTTGTATTATTTTTTACGAGATGAAAAAGATTTCAGAAATTTGATTAAAAAAAATTTAAGAATATAATTCATACTTGATCAAGCAAAGCTTTTAAGGGTCACTTGAAATTATTTAATAGGATTAAAATATTGCCAAGTTTCACACTCTCTAATTTCTATTTTATTAATTTTGGTTCCTTAATCTAAACTTTTTGTAACTGGAGGTAACTGAGTGTAGTATAATCGTTATCATACTCGTATGTTAATATTTTTTTATGTATGGAATAAATCTTCTGTTGTTTAATTCTAAGCTTAGAATATCAATTTTTGACAATTTGCCTAAAAAGTTACATTTTGCGTAAAACTAAAATTTCGTTTCATGCGCAACTTTCGCAAAAAATATTTCCGGTTTTGCGAGAAAAAAATAGCGCAAAACGCGCAAAAGTTCGCAAAAAACAAAATTTGCGCGAAAATAGCGAAAATTTTGCGCAAAAGATTTAGCCATTTCGTGGAAACCCTAGGTGAATTACTCAACTTTGGTACTAAATCATTGCTAATTTATAAAAAAGGAGGTTTGCAGATGTGGAGAAAGGCTCATACTTTATGTGATTTGAAAGTGGCTTAGTTCATCCGATGTAGAGCACAATTATGTTTTGACAATGGGGGATAAGATATGGATACAAAATTCTAAAATCTTAATTTTTAAGAGTAAATATATAAATGTCCTGATATAATCTTTATATTTGAACAATTTTAGATCCATTAGAATGATACATTTAACACAACATCCTTTTACTTTGTGTCACTTACTAAAAATCATATTTTATTGTTCTTGTTCTGTAGCTAACACGAAACGGAGTAAAAATCATATTTTATTCTTCTTGTTCTGTAGCTAACATGAAACGGACTAAAAATCATAATTTTTTGTTCTTGTTCTGTAGCTAACACGAAACGGACTAAAAATCATATTTTATCGTTCTTGTTCTGTAGCTAACACGAAACGGACTAAAAATCATATTTTATTGTTCTGTTCTGTAGCTCACACGAAACGGACTAAAAATAATATTTTCTTGTTCTGTTCTGTAGCTAACACGAAACGGACTAAAAATCATATTTTATTGTTCTGTTCTGTAGCTAACACGAAACGGACTAAAAATAATATTTTCTTGTTCTGTTCTGTAGCTAACACGAAACGGACTAAAAATATGTACTAAGAAAACCCTTTTACGGTTTTTTTATTATTGTAAAATATGTACATCTTATTAGTGTACATATTGGTGTTTACTGAACCTGGTCATTTCTATATCCTCCGTTTTGTGGATATCCTTTTGTCATTGGTTTCGCCTCCTGCCATCTTCTCACTGCAGCACTATCAACTGGATAAATTTTATATTTTATATATTTTTTACCTCTGGATTGTTGATTTATAATAGTTTCAAGAACTGTAAATCTTTTTTCCACATTTTGTTTCAACAAATCTATCTCTGTAGCTATAGCTGTCAAAATCTAAAAGAAAAAAATTAAAACATATTTGTAAGCTTTTTTATATCCGCTTAAAAAAGATAATTCAAGACATACAGTAAGACCTATAAAACCATGGAATATGAAAAGAACTGTTAGACTGAAGATAATATTTTAAATAGTCCAATAAACATATAACACAGCAATTGTGCAATCACTGATCAAACCTATGTCTTTATACAGTGGTCCGCATTCAAACCAATACAATGATAACGATTTTTTTCTTTATTTCTAAAGAGGTTTATTAGAATTACAAGTTAAGAAGTAAACGAAGAAAAGCTCTTAATTGAACACTCTTTGCTCCATATTTTTGTGCAAAAACTTAACTTGGTTAAAACTTAAAATCAAAATTGAAATAGAATGTCGTCTTCATTCTATTGACATATACGACGGTGACTGCATGACAAAAAAATCTACAGAAGAAATCTTTGTGAAGCTGAGATAGATAACTAACCTTGAAGAGTTGAAGGTTCTGATCCTTATCTGATAGAGCATTAAACTTATCCTTGTCTACTTTCATTGCGCCATTTTCTCAGACAATTTTTCTAAAAAAAAAATACAGATTCATTACAACTTGAAAGTAATCAATAAAGAGGGGCCAACAATTGTGAGAATGGCAATATTTTTTTCCGAAAACTTTTAAAAATACTTTATATTTTATTCTTAGCTTTTTCAATTTTATCATTTCAAACCTTAGCAATATTATCCACCAGAACCCCCCCCCCCTTACATACTAAATTTTCCAGTTTAGCCTACAATTCCTGATACGATTATCCAATTTATGTAAAAATGATACATTTCTTGGCAGAAATATATTTTTATTGCAAACGATTGTTTTTTAAGGAACACTTCCATTAATTAATGAATTAATAATTTGATCTTTAAAAGTATTTATAGTTTAAAATGTCAAAGTTCTACGACATTGGTTGTTAGAAAATAGGAATCAGGAATTAGAAAAAAGAATTTGTGGCAATTAATTAGTTCCTTTGTAATTTATTATCAATAATAATAAAAACTAATAGTTACGATATGTAATCCTTCATTAAAATACATTTAAAGCTACACCTTTTAATATTTATTCATACTATATTAATGTTGAATAAAAAAAAACATGAGTTTAAAGGAATTGAGTATTTGTCACAAACTCTGATTCTCTAATCCTAATAAGGCCCACTCTTCATTTGAGTGTTTAGACAACAAGGCCCACTCTTCATTTAAGTGTTTAGACTACAAGGTCTACTCCTCCTTTGAGTGTTTAAACTACAAGGCCCACTCTTCCTACAGGCCACACTCTTCATTTGAGTGTTTAGACTTCAAGGACCACTCTTCATTTGAGTGTTTAGACTACAAGGCCCACTCTTCCTTTGATTGTTTAGACTACAGGCCACACTCTTCATTTGAGTGTTTAGACTTCAAGGACCACTCTTCATTTGAGTGTTTAGATTACAAGGCCCACTCTTCATTTGAGTGTTTAGATTACAAGGTCTACTCCTCCTTTGAGTGTTTAAACTACAAGGCCCACTCTTCATTTGAGTGTTTAGACTACAAGGCCCCCTCTTCATTTGAGTGTTTAGACTACAAGGCCCACTCTTCCTTTGATTGTTTAGACTACAGGCCACACTCTTCATTTGATTGTTTAGACTAAAGGCCACAATCTTCATTTGAGTGTTTAAACTTCAAGGACCACTCTTCATTTGAGTGTTTTGACTACAATGTCCACTCTTCCTTTGAGTGTTAAGACTACAAGGCCCACTCCTCCTTTGAGTGTTTAAACTACAAGGCCCACTCTTCTTTTGAGTGTTTAGACTACAAGGCCCACTCTTCCTTTGATTGTTTAGACTACAAGGTCCACTCCTCCTTTGAGTGTTTAGACTACAAGGTCCACTCTTCCTTTGAGTGTTTAGACTACAAGGACCACTCTTCATTTGAGTGTTTAGACTATAAGGTCTACTCCTCCTTTGAGTGTTTAGACTACAGGCCACACTCTTCATTTGAGTGTTTAGACTTCAAGGACCACTCTTCAGTTGAGTGTTTAGACTACAAGGACCACTCTTCCTTTCAGTGTTAAGATTACATGGTCCACACCTCCTTTAATTGTTTAGACTACAAGGCCCACTCTTCTTTTGAGTGTTTAGATTACAAGGCCCACTCCTCCTTTGAGTGTTTAGACTACAAGGTCTACTCCTCCTTTGAGTGTTTAAACTACAAGGCCCACTCTTCTTTTGAGTGTTTAGATTACAAGGTCTACTCCTCCTTTGAGTGTTTAGACTACAAGTTTATACAATAAATGGTTGAGGTCAGTTTAAATCAAATCCCATTTCGGACTCTGTAAAACCCTTTTAATGCAGTACAATGCAGTACAATGCAGTACAATGCAGTACAATATATATATCTGTCATAACACAATCTCTACTGAAAACGAACCTCAGGTCGCAAAATAAAAACCATCAAATTTAAATGTTTATTCTAAATTCAAATGTTTAAATTTAGGTGGAAAATACCAAATTCATCACTCATTGTAAACATAACAAAAGATGAAAATGCGCAAATCTTTTTTAAGTGTATGAATGTGAATTAATAGTTATTGAGTTTTTTTGGCTTTAAAATATTCTGTAAGATTATTTTCTCCATCTTATTTAATCCCAGCGGAATTGAGACTTTGCCACAGACACAAATTTTCCAATCCCTATATCTTTGCAACCTGATGATGTAAACCTTTGTTTTGAGTCTTTGCCACAAACAAAAATTTTCCAATCCCTATATCTTTGCAACCTGATGATGTAAACCTTTGTTATTTCGAACTTAGTTTATTTGATCATAGTTTGAAATATCTAAGGTCTAAGACATTGGGTTGCAAAGATATGGGATTAGAAAAATCTCATATCCCATGTTGAACTTCACATGATCCCATAAGTAAAAACTTTGCGCTACCTCTGGCAGTATATTATATATTAGATTAAACGTTATTCCTTAAATTCAAAAGTTTATGATAGATGACATCGAGATCATATAGCTCAACCTTTTCAAAGTTAAAAGTTTTAGTCGGAGGTCAGACAGGATTAAAACATGCCCCATAAAAAAATTTACGATTTTTCCAAATTTAAAAATCAAAAAGAAAGGAAAATATGCAACATTTAATATGCTAATGTCAAATAATTTGAGTAAAAAAGGCTTTTAGATGATGTTACGCGAGCCATGCTGCGTGTATAAAGTCTGCTTGTCACCCCTGTGTATTTCTGAGTTCTCCCTGAAGATCTGTACAAAATATATATATATATATATATATACCCACACACACGTATATATATATAATATACGTGTATGTGGGTTTTGAAGTGTACTATATATATACACATTGGCACAATAATCATAACTTTTGAGGAAAAGAGTATTTGCCACAAACTCTGATTATTCTAATCCCTATATTTTTGCAACCCAACGGTATGGACCTTAGATATTTCAAACCATGCACTTTGTTAGATGAAAGAATTTAAGTTTTAAATATCAAAGGTCAGGATGCAAAGATATTGGGATTCGAGAACTTGATTTTTTGGCAAAGACTCAATTCCTTTACATAAAATTTAGAGAACTCCCCCAACCTTGGAAAACTATTTAATTTTAATTTTTAAGAATTGATTAAAGAATTCGAATTTTCAATTACGTAAAAAAATAATTCCTACAGCCATTAAACAGCAGAACGGTTTTCTTGAAATACTAGAATTAGAATAATAAGAATTAGAAATAAGAATTAGTAATTAACTTATTTCAGTATTGTTAATTTTTTTTGGGGCTAATTGTTTTTTGATAAATAACCTTTAATTTGAATTCACATAGTCTTTCTATCAAGCATTGTTTCTAGAAATTAAAATTTTTTACGAATATTATGAAAAGTTTCTTTTATTTTTATTTACTTTTTCCATAGTTTTCCAGATCTATCTATGATAAGTTTGTTTAAACGAAAGGTTTCTGTCTTCAATTTATTTAATTATCGTTAATTTTGCGTTTGTGTGTTGAGAGGGGTGGGACACGTGTGTGTCCGTATGTTTGTGTGTTGAGAGGGGTGGAACAGGTGTGTGTCCGCATATTTGTGTGTTCGAATTGACGTAAAAGAAAGTATATCCAAGGCATTAATAATTGATAGATTTACCAGACCTACTGCCTACACCCACATTCTTCAAACCAATAGGAAATTATTATAAGTTTTTATAAAAAAAGACATTGTCGTATATTATATAAGAGGTTCAGTTGTGTTGGAGTGTACTGTGAAGCCAATTATTGGAAAAAAATTAAGTTGGTTCGAAAGTCTGCTTCGCCCCCCCCCCTTCCAAGGTATTAAAGTACACCATCCTTATATGTACGCAACTTTCATTCATAAGTGTACAAGTAATGTACAAAAAACAATAATCCTTGATCAGTATATCTATTTATATACTTTGCTTTTCTGTTTGTCCGTTTATATCCAATAAACGTCAAAACGGCTGAACCGATCGGGCCCAAATTTTGTGTGGGATATCATGTGACCCCAGGGAAGGTTTGTAGACGGAAAAAGAAAGTAGAAATAATCAAAATAAAGGGTTTTTCTTTAACCTTGGATTGCTTCTACTTTATCACCCGCTTCTACTTTATCTCCCGCTTCTACTTTATCTCCTCGTTAGCTAGAAGAGAGGGATGTGAAGTAAAGAAAAATGTAAGAAATAATTTTGTTGAACTTCCAAAAATTAAATTTTAAAATTTGAAATGCTTTATACAATAATGCAGTCTCGTGTGCACATAGATTCAGCCTGCTTATGAACAGTCTTATCAATTTTTAAGACAGGTTCAACTTTGAAGTGTCGCTACGCCTTGGGCTTGAATTTTACCGCTCTCATTTTTCTGTAGCAAAGACATGTACATTTTAGCACTTTAAAGCACTTGTTGTTAGCTTTGTTTATTAAGAAGAAATTGGCAATTTTTTTTTGATTTATGCTTGAGAGAGTGAGACCTTTAGATCACAGTGAAACATTACAAAATAATTCTTGTAGAAAAATTATAAATTAAATTTTTTTTCTGCTTCAATGTTTAGAGTAAAAATATATCGATCAAAGGAACTGATTTTTTGTCACAAACTCTGATTTTCGAATCTCGACATCTGTGCAACCCGATGTTGTAGACCCTTGCTATTTCAAACAATGAATTCTGTTAGATCAAAGTGTCTAAGTTTGAAATATAAAATGTTTACACCGTCAGGTTGCGAAGATATAGGCATTAGAAAGTTTGACTTTGTGACAAACACTCATTTCCTTTCCAAAATGTGTTAACTAAAACTGATTGCCATTCTCATGTTCTAACTTCCTCTTTCTTATATCTTTGCAACTTTGTTTCGTAAACCTTAAATGTTTCAAGTTATGCATTCTGCTATAGATCAAATAGTCAATGTTTTGAAATATCAAAGGATTAGAGTTCGAGGCGAGTTATCAGATCCTTTGTAAAGTAAATAAACTTCACAACTCTGCAAAGTTTTATGTTTTAATCGTGCTAAATTTAACAATAGATAATAATCAATTTATATTTTGCCTCTATACCAAGGATATTTTACAATTGTTTACAATTTATAAAGATTATTAAAACGTTGATTAAAACTCTAATTTTCTCAGCGCTACATATTTGCAACCTCATGGCATGAACCTTTGATATCTTAAACACAAAATGTTAGATTAAATGGTGTTTGCTTGAAAGGAAACTGAAATTTTTTATTTCCCATATCTTTGCAATCCGATTTCGTATAGACCTTACATATTTTAAGCTATGAATTTTGTTAAATCAAATAGGCTCAGTTCAAAATATCAAGGTAAAGATATAGGGATTAGAAAAGCTGAATTTGTGACAAAAACTCTAAGGTTTACGCCATCTTAAAATATAACGATTAGTGTTAGTGAAAATGGTGATATTATTAGTATTTCCAAGTAATCAGAATGAATGAACTAAATTAAACCCTTATTAAGCTGTATGTATACCTGGAGCATACGAGGTTGGGTTTAATACCGGAGTTAGGAATGGACTACTACCGGATATTGGAATTAAACCAACCCAACCCAAGTCCTCGAGTTCCCGTAAATATAGTTTATGTATATACGACCTTGTAAATATATCATTTAAAACTTTTTATATTTTTCACCCTAAACTAAGGAATTGCACTACACTGACCAAATTAATAGTGGGGGCCTGGTACGTTAGACGAAATGAGTTTTTGCTACAACCTCAGATTTTCTAATCCCTATATCTTTGCATGACCTAATGATGTAAATCTTTGATATTTCAAGCATAGATCATTTTAACTTAAAGAATGCATAGTTTAACTTATCAACGGTTTACAGCATTGGGTTGTAAAGACATAGGAATTAGAAAACTTAAGTTAGTGGCAAAAAACTCAGTTCCTTTGCATATTTTAAGTTTGTAACTAAATATCTTTCATTACAGTCAAGGATTAGTGAATCAATATATATGTTCACATGCAATACAAAATAGGATCTTGCCAACTATTCTTTTTAAACTAAATCTAAAAACAATGGCGTTATATAGTTTTGAAATGTGCATGTATAAAGGTCTATAGCAAAAAAAGTAAAAAAGAGTAAGTAAAGTTCTCCCCCAAAGCCCAAAGGAGTTGCGAGAGACTTAAACAAAGGCCGCAACATCTTTTCTTAAAAATAAATTTTTAAAACTTTATTCTTCTTTTCCGAGTTTTGAATACTTTTAAGTCGGGAAAATTGATTCTTTTAAGTGACGAAGTAATTTTTTTTATAATAATTAAGTAGTAGAGGAGGAAATATTTAAAAACCTCCAAAACTAGAGGAATGGGAATACCCCCCCCTTTCCCAAATTCTAAACAAAGGAAAAGGACAGAAAGTAAAAAAGAAAATAAACATATTTGTTACCTACATTTTTAAGATATTTGGTGGTTGATTATTAGCATTTTTTCCAAATCAAAAATATATTTTTTTAAAGAAAAGATTTTAAAATATATAATGAAGAAAAAAATGCTGGGCAAATATTCATAAGAAAAATAAAAAAAATAATATTTATAATTTGTTGAAAAAAGTGACTTACAAATAACAAAATTATTTTTGATAATTAATTATTCATTTCCGGGAAAATTCCAAAATTTAAAAACAAGTTCTGTTTACGTTATAAAACTTGTAAGAAAAAGGTAAATATCAAATGACAAACATTTTAGTAAAATGCAAGATGTGTAATTGTACAGTGAGGATGGGAAGACGACTGCCAGATTCAAATTATGTTTTAACAAGGTTCAATACAGAGGTAGTGACGTAACACGGCCTTTGTGCAGTGTATACCGACCCATTTCTTGTTATAAGTTGACTTTCAGGCTATTGGTGAAACTTTTAATAAAATAATATCAAATACATAAAAATCTGCTGAAATGTCTTCTTCATATTACAATTTTTTTTAAATTGATGCATTAAAAAGTAATAAATTACGACAATGTTTAATTTTTAAAAAACCACACACCTTCTCTGGGTTCATGTGCTCGATCAGTTTTGTACCACAGACTACACAGACTGCTCATACACTCTACCTGGATAGGCTGAGCAGGCCTATAGTGTCCCGGTTCGGTTCCATGTAATGTTTTTTAACTGACATTTCACGGCCACTTGTTGCATTCAGGGGTTAAGTTTTACAATTTTAAAGAAATACTCCAATTTGTAACATAAAACATAATAACGTTATCTTTGAATATTGTCTATTTTTAAAGATTTTCCATTACCTATTCAAATGATCCTTAAATATCCCTGAATACAAATGTCTCCTGATTGGTCGTGTACAGTACTTGTTCACAATAGAACATGCTGTGGAAAATATCGCATATTATAGCTGTCTTCGTGTCGTTTCGTGTCTTCGTAACTCTCTTATCTCTGGTTTTTACGTTTTTACGCAAACAAAAGGACAGACAAGCAAAGTATAATATAGATAGATGAAGACGACGTTCAGAAATTTTGTGTACTCTTTGTTTGTATTTATTTAATAAACGTCAAAACGGCTAAGCTGAATTTTATCTGGGACCTCATGTGACGTCAGAGAAGGTCAATATACGGTCAAAATTAGAAAAAAGGTCGCCCTTAAAAATTTTAAAAATCTGCAAAACTCAAAAATCTGCAAAACTTAAAAATCTGCAAAACTGAAAAATCTGCAAAACTGAAAAATCTGCAAAACTGAAAAATCTGCTAAAAATCATAATTTTTAAAAAGATAATTTTACTTTTTCCATAGTTTTCCAGATCTATATAATTTTCAATATTCCCCTGATCATTATTCATGACATTACTCAAATTTTTTTTTTTTTTGATGTCTGCATTATTATTCATAAGATATTTTTCAAATACATGTATTTTGTTATGTAGTGATAAATCTACAGGGATATCTATACTCGGCTTTTTTGTCAATTTTGTTTAAAATGCATTTTTTCGAATTTTATATTTTTTTTTAATCCTGAAATTTTTTGGGGGATTTTCAAAAATGTTTTCTTTACACTTTTTAAAGCGAGGACTGATAGAATTTGATTAAATTACCAAGGATGAATATTAAGTTTAGTATTCTTGATGGTATATAAGGTAGGATGGATCTATTTCTAGGTATAGTTGGAGAGTAGCAGCAGGATGAAACTTCTCTTCTTCTCTGTATCTTTAGGATCGGATTCAACTTTATCAAACTTATTTTCTAATAAGAGATTGAGTCTTTGCCACAAATTCAAATTTTCTAATCCCTATAACTTTGCAGCCTGATAATTGATTTACTTATAAATTTTAAAATTATTAAATAGAAAATGGTCTCTTTATTTTTAACTTTATTTAAAAATACAGTCAGAACCAGAAAACGGTAGAAAAGAAAGACGACCGTAAATTAAAAATTAAGTAAATTTGATGTTGTTACAAATCAAATAGTTTTACTTGTGACTTTTTAATACAGTAAAATGGGTCTGTTTACACTGCACAATTTCATAAGTTTATTGGACTATTTAAATTCGTAACTTGAGCCTAAAAGAAATCTCTGTATGTCTATTTTTTTGTAAGATCATAACTCATGAACCCCTCAACTGATTTGCATCAAATGTTTATGGGGGAACTTGAAAGAACCATTTGAATGTTCTACGCTTGGTTTTGAGATTCTAACTTGAGTGGATCGACTTGTAATGGGAAAAAGCTAAAATCGTAATTTACGACCATGCTCGGGTAACTTGCGGGAGTTATTATGAGTACCCTGGGCAACGCTGAGTTCTCAAGCTAGCACATATTATAAATGAATTAAACCGTTGGTTCAGGATGCATTGCCTCCCTACTAAGCCTGCCCCTGGAGGAGAGCGAAAGAACCTATTCTCCAGAATATTTGGTTCCAGTAGAGTACTTTTCAAAGGCAGGGTTCCATATTCAATCAATCAATCAATTCATCCATCCATCCATCCATCCATCCATCAATCAATCATTCAATCAATCCACTGATCAGATAATTAAACATTAAAATCCATGTATTGCAATAGTGCAAGATTATTAGATGACTTGGAACCCCATTTTAAGGTAGAAGGATATCATCCGGTCAACTTTGACAGAGACACCCGTGGAACCGAAAAATTCTCTCGCATTATGCGCTCTGACGATAAATTTGCTCGCATTATGCGCCCTGACGAAAAATTCGCTCGAATTATGCGCTCCGATGACAAATTCTCTCGCATTATGCGCTCTGACGACAAATTTTCCCGGATTATGCGCTCTGACAAATTTGCGCGAATTGTTCGCGATAATACCAAACTTCTCCGGATTCTGAGAAGCATAGAAAGTGCTCCGGGAGCATTCCTGGAAGGCTCCGGCTCCGGGAATACTCAATATACGGAGTCCAGGGTACTCCGAAGTCCTGAGATAAAATTTACCCGAATTTTGAGATCTGGGGCTGAGTTGGCTGATCAAGAGAATCTCTAGGTGTACAGTTAGATAAAATCATAAATTAATGAACAATAACAGATAGAATACTATATGTCGTCTTTTAACGGCGTAGAATTGCAAAACAGAGAGAGAGCCTGTTCTACGACGCATACGTGTAACTCCTTTGGGCTTCTGCCTCAGAGTTATTGTGAGCGAAAACCCCTAAATTTTGGAAACACGACATCTAGTGTTCTGTCTGTTATTGTTAATTAATCTATGGATAAAATACTTTTAATATACTTGAAACTACTTAAATTTTTTAATATATTTTTTAACCATAGGACGTTTTATTCACCAATACTAAAAGCTAGACGCTTAGAAAAGGTTTAAGATATAATTCAGGGGTGGTATAAAAGGCAATGGCAAAGGCAATGGGGCTACAACCCCCCCCCTCTGAAAAAGTAAACATAAATTTCTGTATACACCTCTGATACTTATTTGAATCTTAAAATAACAACATTGGTTTTTAAACTAAAGATTTTTATCGAATTGTACAAGATAGATATATATTTGGAGAAACCTGGAGGAGATTGTACTAAAGATGCTGGTACAGTGTACAGTGTACAGCTTACACTGTACAAATTACAATCTGTACTGCATTTAGTACATGTGTTCTTTGTATTAAACCATGTTACAATTTTACATTAAATAAAAAGACATGTATCTATCTACTTCTATGTATTTTTTATTATATGTAATTTTGCTTAAATACAGGGTTATTCACAAAGGATGAGACTGTAAAGACGACACAAAACTAAAACAATATGACGATTTGAAGCTTGATGTTTGGTTTCTGCACGCAATTTTGTATTTTGATGGTTTATGGAATTATTAAGCACAGATATAGTCCGGGTTTGGCCTACAAGGAACCCTGAATGCCAATAAATAATAATAATTCTGTAGGGGGGGGGGGGGGGGGGAAAGGTTTAAATTTTTTTACCCCCCTAGAAAAATATCATGATGTATATCAAATTATTGGTTTTAGTTGGGTTTGATTTGCATTTTCCACTCATTTCTGGCATTCACAAACTCCATCAAATAAGGGCTTCATTTCATACCTTTTAGCTTTCACCTTGTTTTATATCCTTTATAATCTGTAAAAAAACTGAATTTATTTTAAGTAACATAAAACATAATAGTTTTACTCAAAGAGGAAAAGGATGTTACTTTTTAAAATTTTTAGAAAAGCTACTCTGCAAAACTTTGAAAAATATTGTCTTTGTTTATATTCTAATTTCTAATTTCTTAAATATTCTTGTCGTCAATGTAGTTTGTTAAGATCTTAAATAAATCTAATATGGAAATGACATTATTTAGAAGTAAAAATGTATTTTTTACTACCCATACCCTTTTTTCGTTTAAAAAAACATCTAATTGTAATGAGAATTTAGAATCATTTAGAATATGTTGTCTTAAAATCTGAAATATCTGAAATATCTGTACATTTAAATTATTTTCTCACAAAGGAATTGAGTCTTTGCCACAAACTCTGATTTTCTAATCACTATATCTTTGGAACCAAATGTTGCATACACTCGATATTTCAAACTTTGAATTCTGTAATTCAAGTAATCTGAGTTTAAAATATCAAAGGTTTACAACATCGAGTTCTAAGCACATTGTGGTTTAAATATTTGATTTTGTTCCAAATACTCAATTCCTTAAAAAATATTCAATTTTAAAATCAACCTTTTTTTAAAAACAAAAACAAAGTAACAACTCGCTATTCACGGCCTGAATAGTTCAGGGGTAATTACCTTCAAGATTCTGAGTGGGGACCCCCAGGATTCTAGGGGGGGGGGTAAATAACCCCAATAACCCCCCTTATTTACGCCATTGCAGTGAATGCAAGAATATTGACTTAACAAATTCCGTACAATCGTCTCTGATCGAAGTCTCATCCTCTGGGTGTAACCCTGAATATAAATATCAAATCAAATATATTAATATATCTGGAGGAATTTATGTAAGAAAGACACGGGGAAAGTTTCAGGAAAAAACCTGTAAATAAAATTTAGGGGAAAAGTAAATAAAGGTAGAGGAAAACCTGTAAATAAAAGGTAGGGGAAAACCTGTAAATAAAAGGTAGGGGAAAACCTGTAAATAAAAGTTAGGGGAAAACCTATAAATAAAAGGTAGGGGAAAACCTGTAAATAAAAGGTAGGGGAAAAACTGTAAATAAAAGTTAAGGGAAACCTGTAAATAAAAGGTAGAGGAAAAACGGTTCTTAATTTCCTTGAGAACAAACATTGGATAATTAATAACAAATTTTGAAAATTTAATCTAAATATACATAAGTTGAATACAATCTGTACACACCAGTCTCTAAAGTCTCATCATTTTCGAGCAACCCTGTGTAGTGAGTACAAAAAACACCCACATTTATATATCGATATTTAAAGATATCAAATATCTGGAAAAGTAATTTATATATTTTTCATTATCAATCATTCATATCTATTCATGATTTATCTCAAAGGATGAGATTGTAATCGTTTTTCTTATAATTATAGTTCCTGCAGTTGCAACTTTTCTTTGTCAAATAACTAGATTCGAATTTTAAAAACTGAATTTACTTCTCAACTCGTCAAATTCGAGAACTTTTTGTGTGAAATTTTAATTTTGTTGTTGGATGGGTTGTTAGGATTAAAGGGACTGTAAGCGTACTTTTAATTGCAAAGATGGCAATGCCTGATTTACAACGGAACCTCTGAAACATTCATCCGGTCAAAGTTCACATATGTGGAGGATACTGTCGTTTTTCTGACCCAATAGCTGTTTATTTCTGTACGTTTCTCTATAGATTTTAATAAACCAGAAATGCGTAAGTCCCTTTTGCAGAAAACTCGCAAATGAAAACAAACTGTTTAAGCAGCAGAAGAAACATTTTTTAGAATTATTTAATAACCTGGACAAAAAATTATTTACAGACTAATTTGCTGTTTAGGAACATATTTATAAAAATAAGTTATCTATGAAAGCAATAGTAGAACAGTAGAATCGATTATTTTATTAATAATATTACCTTTCCGGTTTCTATAATTTTATTTGCACATTTCTTCAAAATGTCGTCTTCACAATTAAAATAAAGAAAACCTCCACTGTGCGACCCTAGTTGAAGTCGTTGAAGGAATATGTATAAACCTGCAAGATTTTAAAATCAATTTTAATAACTTATTTAAGAACTGTACACCGTAAAAATGTCTCATTGGAATCAAAAGAATTCTCAAGTTTTTCTCTACAATACTGCACTTTCAACTTAAATATGTTACAAAGCCAGTCTCTCCCTTTAAAGAAACAAAAACATTGATATATAATTTTTACTTGATCAGACAAAGCTTTCAACGACACTGTTGTAAAGGAAGGTCACTTGAAATTACGCCTACAGTCCTTTTAAATGATACAAGTCTTAACGACTGAACCAATTCATGGGTTATCTGTAACATGACTTAGCCCACAAAAATTAACTACAACTAATAGCCCAACAAAAAATTTAATATAATAGATAGCTCAACAAAAAATCTACATTTATTGGATGTAAATGCCAAATGGGTTCTGAAGTCAAGACTCACAGACTTTTAATTTAGAACTTAAAACTGTGTCAAATAAGAAAGTCTAGACATTTTCACATTTCACTAATAAAAAAAAACAATAAAAGAAAATTATTTCATTTTGACTATAGTTAAACCCTAAATAAGTCATACATCGAAAGAATTCATCAAATGTCGTATTCTTCACTTTCTGATAATGGAATCTTGCAAATATTTAGTTTTTTTAACTAAATGATTATATGGAGCTCTTTAAAACTGTTCCCCCATATTCATGGCCATTTATCTATTTTCGCAAATACTGAGAATTACGTAAATTAGTATAAAACCCATTGAAAATTTGTCAAGACGACATTTGATAAATTTTTAGGATTTAACTGTATCTGAAAAGTGAAAAAATGAAAATTAAATCTTGTTAGAGTTAGAGCTTCTAGATATTCAAAAACCCAAAACACTTTGCATAATTTGTAACAAAAAATTGGATAATACAATATATATTTCAAAAATATCAAAATAATATCTAAAAAGATAAAGGTACAAATTTTATAAATGAAAAATATTATTTGCTTCTGTTCTAATGTCTAGAATTAAAAAAAATACATGATATACATTTTCACTATATACAGAGTGTCCCACGAAACATGACAGTTGATAAATAGTTTTGAATATCGTCTTCCATATACTGTATTATGATATTATGTAAGGATTTGGGTGTATACCGGGAAGTCTTAGCCTAGACCTTGAATTCAACCAGTTGTGTGGGGTGGATTCCAACCCAGGACCTGCAGACAATTATTGAGTACGGGTTTTAAAACTTGACTTTACCAGCTTATTTCCTACTTGTTCCAGGGATATATTTCTTCACAATAATATTTACTACTGCTTGATGCTTCTATAATCTTTTCTTCGTGTAATAAAACAAAATCTACTTTATCATAGTTTGTAGTCTATAACAGGGCTAACCTGTATTTAAACTGTATACTTTGACTAAATAAACAGTATAGTACCATCTATATTCCTAGCTTGTTGGTAGTGAACCTAGTAGTGATCAGCTATTCATAGACTCTAAATATTGAACTGAAGATAAGAGAATAGATTGTAGTAGAAAGGGAGTTGCTGTCTATAGACTCTGAGGTCTTGTAGTTTCGAGTTGGATTTGGAAGATTAGAGTTTGAGGCAATCCCCATTCTGGGACTTAACTGAGTTTTGTTCACTACTGAAGTAGTTTGAGTTTACCCGAGTTGAGATATTTTCTGGCTAGCTTTTCCTTTGAGCTCATTTTAGTAAAGGGACTGTGCTTGATATAAGAGGACGAGGATCCCCCACTTTTCATGGTGGCAAGCGGCCTGGGATAGAGAGTAGTTGGAAGGAAAAAGAAAATCCAGTTACTGAACCCAAGGGAGCTAGGAGGAGCCAGAGAAGATGGAAGAGTTGAACGAGATAAATCGGAGGCTGAGGGAGGAGGTAGATAGGCTTAATCAGGAGTTAGCAGCTCGTGGGCAAGGTGCAGCCCCGGCACCGGAAGGAGAGATAGATTTCCGGACCCGGGAGACCATCTTGCGAAGTGTTCCGAGATTCCTCGATAATGGGAGTGTACTCTACAGAGACCATGAGGTTAACATCAGCAAGTTTTTGATGTGTCGTACAGACGTGGTCCGTACTGATCGGATGAAGAAGACCATCCTGATGGAGAGCATAGCGGGCAAGGCTGTGAGCAGGATTAGGGATAACGCGCCTATTAATGAATGTTTCCGGGATGGTACGTTTGAACAGTTTGCAGCTTTGATTAGAGAAGTGTTCTGTCCAGATAATGAGTCCCTCCTAATCAGATCAGAATTTATAACATATACGAAAGGGAGGCAGCAAGACGTTCAATCCTACCTGACAAACAAGATGGCGTTGTTTAATCTCGCCTTTGCCCCTAATGAACGGTCCTTCAATACCCTGATGTTGCACGTGATTAAGGGGTTGCTTAACAACGCCGTCAGGAGGATGGTTCGGAGGGCCAACCCTAAGACTGAAGTGGCTCTCCGCGCCGCGGTCGTGGAAGCGACCGCGGCGGAAAGGGACGCCTGGAATGGCGGGTATAGCGAGAGTTCGTCAGCTGACGGACTGATAACCAT